ATGAATTATTTTGTGATCACCACAAGACGACAACTCAACTAGATAAGGGTCAAGTTTATATAACCCTTGACTCCTGTTGTACAAAGCATGACTTCATGTTTTATAAGATATTCAGTTATGTTTCTCTCCACAATGGAACTATAATGGACTATGACCTGGGCACATGTCAAGTTTGGCAGATGACTGGAAGGTCTAACGTGGTAAAAAATCACATTGGACTTCTTGTGTTGTCCTAGTATGTTGTGTTGATGTTTTGATGTCACCACCCAGTTAGTTAGAGAGGCCCTTATAAACACCTCGACCCACTTGGGATGGTGCATTCTTGATTTGTGGGGCCTGATTTGGCCGTCACTGAAAATTCTTGAAAAAAACAACATTTATTATTGAATCTTTTCAGTGCTCGAGATATACAAATATATTAGATCAACAGCAAACAAGACATGATACATGAATGAGTGTAATGGTGCACTGCAAAGATTGAACGTGTTCAGTGATGACAGGGGAGGCAGGTCGATTAATGCAACAGTAATGTGGCATTGGTATGTGGTGGAGGTGGTGTTCATAGGGAGGATAACTGGAATAACCAAGTAACCATATCCCACATATGTTGCTGCTACTCTAATGCCAGGAAGTGAGGCTCTCTGATCCTTCCTCAACAAAATTCAATAAATTGTTGAAGCTAGCGCAGGTCTGGCTTACATTAATAACTTTTGGTCATGAACCACAACATGGTACCCTAAGGTTTTTAAAGAAAATTCCTTGATACAAATCTATGTTGACATCCATAAATACAGAAAAAAGCGGGAAGTATAAATATGTGTAGCTTTGCGATACCAGAGCTTCACAGCCAGTACACGTTTCCTGATCTATTTATTGTTATCGCCATTCCAAGATCTACGTTAAGGTGGGTCTGATTTGTCCACGATTTTTTTCTTCTACAGTTGAAATAAGGATCTTAGACATTTGTTTTAACTTTTCCTATCATTCATTTGGGATCGTTTAGATGACTTTATTTCTTCAGAGGCATATAGATTCTTTGGGATCAGTGTACATTATTACGAAAAATTCCAATTTGTAGTTCCCTTCGTTAATGTTTATACGATCTGTGTTAATGGAATCGTTAGCCATAATAAACTCTTGTAGGTCATAACAGGTGTTTATTAAGTCTATTATCTACAGCATGAAAATCTGAGAGTAATTAAATCTTAAGATAATAAAATTTTTCATCGCCTAGTACAAGCACTTAACCATCTAACTTGTGGATATTGGTGTCTCTGACAAAAACCAGGTTAATCAGGTTGCTTCTTTTAATCTGGGTAAAGTTAGAGATTACCTAGAAAAGCCGAGTCTAACTACTGACTTGCAACTTGTTGGACAATATATTACCAAATGAAGAATTCCAGTTGTTTTGAATAAGTTTAAAATCAACTATAATTAATCGGTTTGAAGCATAACCTCGTTTCCAACTCTCTCTCTCTACCTTCGCTTACAAATTTATGGATCTACGTGTCATATCTACATAAACATTTTCCACATTCTTCTTGAAATTCTTCCCAGGAATATTTGCGACAGTCTTCTGGGGTTCTGTCTACTAGTATATAGCAAATCAAGTTCTCACAGACATAGCACCACCTCGCCCTATTATAATAATAATTAATATCTTTCATTGACCTACCAAGTACAGGAACAAGGTTATTACTCAGTCCTGGGCTGACATCAATGACATACTACTATATAGAAAGCTTGCTTGTTGTGCTGTGCCCCCCCCCCCCCCCCCACCCATTTCGGGGAACTAGGTCAGTTTTGTCCCAGGATGCGACCCTAACTCCCTAGATTCCTTTTTAATGATGGGGTGAAACAAGACAATAGGTGTAAAGAAACTGCTCATGTTTGTACCCTGGCTGGGAAGTGAACCCAGACAACTTCGCGTGTGAAGCGAGAGGTTTAGCCACCAGGCCACCCCCAACAATATATCAGTGAGTCATCGAGCGACTGCTTCTGTCTTATTTCCCACTGTGGTCCTTCAGTATTGTCCCCCAGGATGCCAAACACACAGTCAGATTAACATCCAGGTACATACCTGCTTGCTAGGTGATACCGGGGACCCACCTGGTGTAAGGAAAACACGCCCGATGTTGCTTCCACCATTGCCGGGAACAAACCATGGGAACTCAGTGTGCGAAGCCCGAGAGTGACTGCCTTACCAGGGTCCCGACTCTTCTTCTAGGACCCATGTCTAAGTTACTGTAAAAACTATAACTTTTCTTGCAAATATTACTATTAGTAACTCGTTCATCTTCTTGCTAATGTTACGACATTTGTATAATAATGCCAGTGGTTATTTATTCTGCATCCTTATGCCTTTAATTTAGCCCCGCCGTAGAGGCAAAAGACCTCTACGTGTGCCTCTTCCTTTAATTGCACGCCACACAGAAAGTTCTAAGTCGCCTTCTGAACCTAAAAATGGACTGGTACTGCGGTTAACCTTCTGGCTAATCAATTTTTAAAGGCTACTGAGGTGTCAGCTTCCATGACTCGACGGAAAGTTTCACTCATCTAGAACTCTGTTCCTAAACCTCTACTGTACTATTACACTGTAGCATCTTGAAGTTATTTTCATACAGTAATTATCTTATAGCAGTGTAGTTAACACAAATCTGCTTTCTAGATTTTCAAGAGTATTGTTAAATTTGTAGCTGGTGTTGGGACTATAATAATGTTGTACGCATCTATAACTATAAAATGCAATTCTGTCAAATGTATAATACCGGTAAGTTGATGAATAAGACGCATGAACAGTATTCAAGTATGGTAAACAGAGAGAGAAATGCAGCGTAATGTGATTCTGTACTGCCAGTGTTGAGCCCACACTGGTATCTTAACGAATCGGATAAAACCTGGTTGAGAGTAGGTGAGTTAATGTGGGGTTTGGGAGCATAGTGCAGTGAACAAGTGTTGTGAGGTGTGTAGATCACTGTGGCAGATCACTACCTCGACACTTCACCAGGGACTGAAGACTCTCTCCATCATCATTAACTCACTCAGACAAAATACCAACTCTGTTTTTAAGCATATACACAACATTTTATATCAAAATTCATAGCCAGTAAGAGACACCACCAACAAACACACAACTGCTGGGTTACACGCAATTTCGTGCAACGATAGTAAGAAAAAATAAATCATTCAGCGACCTTCAAAAAAGCATTTCCGAGCACCAGTGGGTCAGCAGAATTGACAGCTTGGGGTTTAATTAGCCGTTCAGTTCTGTGTGTCACATCGAAATTCCTACAGCTAAGTAATTAATGATCAGTGGCGCATTACTCGTTGGTAAGGAAGAGGACATCTAGTGAGGAACCAGGACTCGTTGGTAGGAAGTGGGAACATCTATTGAGGAACCCAAGGACTCGTTGGTAAGGAAAGAGGACATCTAGTGTAGGAGGAAACCAGGATCGTTGGTAAGGGAAGGCGGACATTTAGTGCAGTGGAACCAGTGACTCGTTGGTAAGGTAAGAGGACATCTGTGAGGAACCATGGGACCTCGTTGGTAAGGAAGAGGACAATCTAGCCGAGTGAGGTATCCAGGACTCGTTGGTAAGGAAGAGGACATATAGTGAGGAAACCAAGGACTCGTTGGTAAGTGATGAGGTCATCTAGGTTGAGGAACCAGGACTCGTTGGTAAGGAGAGGAACATCTAGTGAGGAACCAGGACTCGTTGGGTAGAGGAAAGAGGACATCTAGTGAAGGAACCAGGCACCTTGGTAAGGAGAGGACATCTACGTTGAGGCAACCAGGACTCGTTGGTAGGAAGAGGGACATCTATTGAGGAACTGGACTCACATCTGTCTTCCCGACCCACAGCAATAGATCAGAGGAACCTATGCAATGACTCACCGATTTACACCACTACAGTGAATGCCTTACCTCACACCACTTACAAGTCACTCTGAATTACCTTCACACCACTGCGATAACCGCTTGCTCACACACTACCGTGACCTGCTTAAAATCACCCACTGCACCGATCACCTGCTTGCCTCACACCATACAGTGACCTGCAAAACCTCACACCACTGCGATACCTTATGCTTGACCTCACTCCACTACAGTTGATCTGCATACCTCACACAACTGCGATCCACTGACTTGCTCACACCACTACAGTGACCTGCAACCTCACCACCACTGCGATCACCTGCTTTGCCTCACACGCTACAGTGACTGGCATAACTCACAACACTACAGTGTCCTGATTACATTCACACCACTACAATGACCTGCCTACTTAACATCTCTATACAATGGACATGCCTACCTCACACCACTACAAATACCTTGCCTAACCATCTCACACTGCAATGACCTGCATACCTCACAACATACAATGACCTGCTACTACACAACCACTACAATCCCAGGAACTGGCATAGTTCACTTATCTACCAATGACCTGCCTACCTCACACTCACTACAAATGACTGCCTACTTACACACACTACAATGACCTGCTTACCTCACCCACTACAATGACCTGACTATTCACAATCACTACAATGACCTGACTACCTCACACTCAAAACTTACAATGGACCTGCCTACCACACACCACTTCAATGAACTGCCTACTTCACACACTACAATGACCTGACTACATCACACCACTACAATGACCCTGCCTACCTCACACACCATTACAATGACCTGCCTATCTTCTCACATACAATGACCTGACTACTCACACCTCTACAATGACCTGCCTACTTCACACCACTTACAATGACCTGCCTAAGTCACACCATCAATGACCTGCCTACTTCACCACCAATACAATGTCCTGCCTACTTTCACACCACTACACATGACCTTGCCTAACTTCACCAACTACTACAATGACCCTCATACGTCACACCCACTACAATGACCTGCCTACCTCACACACTCAATGACCTGCCTACTTCCACACCACTACAATGACTGACTACCTCAACACCATACAATGACCTGCCTACTTCACACCACTACAATGACCTGCCTACTTCACACCACTACAATGACCTGCCTACCTCACACCACTACAATGACCTGCCTACTTCACACCACTACAATGACCTGCCTACTTCACACCACTACAATGACCTGGCTAACTCCAACCACTACAATGACCTGCCTACTTCCACCACCTCTACAATGACCTGAACCTACTTCACACCACTACAATGACCTGCTACTTCACACCATACAATGACTGCCTCTTCACACCACTTACAAGGTCCTGCCTACTTCACACCACTACAATGACCTGCAATACTTCATACCACTACGTGACCTGCCTACTTCACACCAATACAAGCACCCTACTACCTCAACACACTACAATGAACCTGCCTACTTCACAAACACTTACAATGACCTGCCCTACTTCACACCAACTACAATGACCTGCCCTACTTCACACACACTAAATGACCTACCAACTTCACACCACTACAAATGGACATGCCACTTCACACCATACAATGGACCTGCCTACTTCACACATACAATGACCTGCATACTTCACACACTACAAGACCTGCCTCACTTCCCACTACTACAAGACTGCCACTTCCTAACACACCTTACAATGACCTGCTTACTTTCACACACTACAAATGACATGCCTACCTCACACCCCCTACAGTGAACCTGCCCCTTCTTCACACACTACAATGACCTCGTACTTCAGACCCACTACAATGACCTGCTTACCTACACCACTACAATGGACCTGGCCTACTTCACACCACTACATTGACCTGCTTCCCTCACACCCAATACAATGGACCTGCCTACCTCACACCACTACGATGACCTGACTGCTTCACCACCACTACACAAATGACCTGCTTTTACCTCACACCACTACAATGACCTGCCTACCTCCACCATACAATGACTGTCTACTTCACACCCAATACAATGACCTGTCTACTTCACACCTCTACAAATGACCTGCTACTTCACACCACTACAATGTAACTGCTACTTCACATCCACTACAATGACCTGCCTACTTAACACCACTACAATGACCTGCCTCCTTACTTCACACACTACAATGACTGCCTACTTCACACCACTACAATTGACCTGATACTTCACAACCACTACAATGACCTACCTACCTCACACCATACAAAGACCTGCCTTCCTCACACCACTTTACAAATGACCTGCCTACGTCACACCCACTTACAATGACCTTGCCTACTTACACCACTACAATGACCTACATACTCCACACCACTACAATGACCTACCTACTTCACACTACCACTACTAATTGTCCTACCTACATCACACCACTACAATGACTGCCTACCTCACACCCACTACAATGACCTCCTGCCTACTTCACACACTTCAAATGGACCTGCCTACTTCACAACCACTACATGACCTTGGGGCCTACTTCACACCACTACAATGACCTGCCTTACTTCACACCACTACAATGACCTGCCTACTTCACACCACTACAATGACCTGCCTACTTCACAACCACTACAATGACCTGCCTACTTCACACCATACAATGACCTGCTCCTACTTCACAACTCTACATTGGACCTGCCACTACTTCCCCACACCTCTACAATGACCTGCCTACTTCACACCACTACAATGACCTGTCTACTTCACACCACTACAATGACCTGCCTACTCCACACCACTACAATGACCTGCCTACTTTCACTCCACTACAATGACCTGCCTACTTCACACCACTACAATGACCTGCCTACTTCACACCACTACAATGACCTGCCTACTTCACACCACTACAATGACCTGCCTACTTCACACCACTACAATGACCTGCCTACTTCACACCACTACAATGACCTGCCTACTTCACACCACTACAATGACCTGTCTACTTCACACCACTACAATGACCTGCCTTACTTCAACACTACAATGAACTGCTTCCTACTTCACACCACTACAGGACCTCCTACTTCACACCACTACAATGACCTGCCTACTTCACACCACTACAATGACCTGCCTACTTCACACCACTACAATGACCTGCCTACTTCACACCACTACAATGACCTGCCTACTTCACCACACTACAATGACCTGCCTACTTCACACCACTTAAAACCCAAAATGACCTGCATACCTCACCCACTACAATGTCCTGGCCTACGTCACACCACTACAATGACCTGCACTTTCACACACTACAAATGACCTCCTACCTACTTCACACACTCAATTGACCTACCTACTTCACACCACTACAATGGACCTTACCTACCCTCACACCACTACAATAGACCTGCCTACCTCACACCATACAATGCACATGCCTACTTCCCACTACAATGACCTGACTTACTCACACCACTACAATGACCTGCCTTCTTCCCATGGCCTGGTGACACCGTGGCATGGTGATAGTGGACTGGTGGACACAGTGGTCCTGGTGACACAGTGGCACTCGGTGACAACAACGTGCCTTGTGACACTTGGCCTGGTGACACCGTGGACTCGGTGACACGTGGCCTGGTGACGCCGTGGCCTGGTGACACCAGGCCACTGTCAGTGAAGACAGTAACTGTATAATTCTACTTGTGTTCTTCCACAGTGAAGGACAGTTAAACTGTATTCATTCAACTTGTTAATCTTCCACAGTGAAGACCAGTAACTGTATACATTCTACTTGTTATATTCCACAGTGATGACAGTAACTGTATCATTCAATTGTTATCCTTCACACAGTGAAGACAGTAACTGTATCATTCAACTTGTTATCTTCCACAGTGAAGGCAGTAACTGTATCATTCAACTTGTTATCTTCCACAGTGAAGGCAGTAACTGTATCATTCAACTTGTTATCTTCCACAGTGAAGGGACAGTAACTGTATCATTCAACTTGTTATCTTCCACAGTGAAGACAGTAACTGTATCATTCAACTTGTTATCTTCCACAGTGAAGGCAGTAACTGTATCATTCAACTTGTTTCTTCCACAGTTGAATGACTGTAGTAACTGTATCATTCAACTTGTTATTTCTACAGTGAAGGCAGTAAGAGTACACTGTATCATCTCAACTTGTTATCATTCCACAGTTGAAGGCCAGTAACGGTATCATTCAATTGTATCTTCACATAGTTGAAAGGACAGTAAACTGTATCATTCAACTTGTTATCTTCCACTGTGAAGGCAGTAAACAGTATCATCTCAAATTGTTATCTTCCACAGTGGATAAGACAGTTAACTGTAATCATTCAACTTGTTATTTCCACTGTGAAAGGCAGTAACAGTATCATTCAACTTGTTATCTTCCACAGTGGAAGACAGTAATGATATTAAATTGTTTTATATTCTCAGTTGAAGGCAAGTAACTGTATCATTCAACGTGTTATCTTCCACAGTGAAGACAGTAACTGTATCATTCAACGTGTTATCTTCCACAGTGAAGACAGTAACTGTATCATTCAACTTGTTATCTTCCACAGTGAAGACAGTAACTGTATCATTCAACGTGTTATCTTCCACAGTGAAGACTGTAACTGTATCATTCAACACTGTTTTTCTTCCACAGTGGAAGACAGTAACCTTGTATCATTCAGCAACGTGTTATCTTTCCCCCACAGTGTGAAGAACAGTAACTGTTTCATTCCAAACGTGTTATCTTCCACTAGTGAAGACAGTAACTGTTTCATTCAAACGTGTGATCTTCCACAGTGGAAGGACAGTAATCTGTATAATTCAGCAAGTGTTATCTTCCAACAGTGAGACAGTAACCTGTATCATTCATACGTGTATCTTCCACAGTGAGGCAGTAACTGTTTCAATCAGAAACGTGTTTTATCTTTCAACAGTGAAGACAGTAACTGTATCATTCTACTTGTTATCTTCCACAGTGAAGACAGTTAAACTGTCATTTTCAGCAAAGTGTTTAACATCCACAGGGAAGACAGTTAACTGTATCATTCAACTGTGTTTTCTTCCACAGTGAAGGCAGTAAACTGTATAATTTCAGCAAACGTGTTATATTCCATCAGTGAAGGCAGTAACTGTATCATTCAACTTGTTATCTTCCACAGTGAAGACAGTAACTGTATCATTCAACGTGTTATCTTCCACAGTGAAGGCAGTAACTGTATCATTCAAAGTAGTTATTTCCACAGTGAGGCAGTACTGTATCTCAATTGTTATATTCCACAGTGAAGGCAGTAGCTGAAACTTTGGAATGCCAACTACTACCGGGGTATGCAAGTGCCGTGTGTCGCCCAGTAGTTCGTTGTTCCGGAGAATGCTGACTTTAGTCCAGCAACAGCATTGATCAAGAGGAGGTGCTTATGCCACTACTGCTGTGTTTGCTAATTGCCAGGTGAGGCCCTATTTATAAAGGCTTCTGAGAGGTAGGTATTCGTAAAGTAATCCCAGGTGTGTACAGGTCACCACCATCCTTGACTTACCATTCAAGGTCACTTCACCAGAGTTCGTATAAGAAACATAAGAACGAAGGAACACTGTAGTTGGGCCTTACTGGCCCATGGCGTGGCAGGTCCAAGTCTCCTTACCGGCTCTTTAAGCAAATGCACCCATCCTAGTCAGGTAAGGGTCACTTGACTTAAAGGGAGGAAACACACGGCCAAACCGGACTGGAAGCACAAGCTATCAGGTCCAACTCACACCCACCCACATCCACTCATGTATTTATCCAACCTCATTTTTATAAGCTTCACAACGTCTGGCCTCAATAACTGCTACTTGGGAGTTGTTCCACTCATCCTCCACTCTATTACCAAAACCAGTACTTTCCTATAGCCTCCTGGGAGACTGAGGAAATGGTTTTGGCATTGTTTGTATCTGCGGGTCGCGCTGCTAGGCAAGGCTTGTTGCCTTGTTAGTTACACAGACTGACATTTTTATTGCGTAGAGACATAGATGTGCAGGGAGTTAACTTTGGTATTTTGGTATTAATTTTCAATGGCCTTTATATACTCTTGAAATATAATTATGGTTTATCAATTTTTATTTTGGATATTACTATTACGTGTTGTTCAATGAGACATTAGTGTGTTGGTTATGTAAGTTTAATAGGCACTGAGTGTGATTTTGGATGGTTAAAGCAACGATATAAAGCTACGGACATAAAGCAACGGACATAATAGCAACGACTTAAAGCAAGACATTAAAGCAACGACATAGTTATATAGTGGGTTGTATTAAATTTAATGCTGACTGTTTTGTGGCCGAGAGTTTAGGTTAAACTATGATTAAAAAATATGTTTATGTTCATGTTAGTCAAGGTGAGTCATGATGTCAAGATTGGTTTTGGGAGTGTATTAAAAAACAAAATTATATCAGTAATTTTTCACCAATGTAATTAATTTGCAAGGGGAAAAATTTCCGGGATTAATTTAATTTACTTTTTTTGGGCAGTTCTACTTTATCTGATCGACGCTTTAAACAATATCGCTAATACGTAAGCTGCCAAGATTAGTTATGGGTTAATAAACGCCGTAGTATGAGCTACTTTGGTTGGCGTCGATGAATGTTCTCACTTCAGTTGTGATTCAAGTCGTGATTGTCTCACTTCTGTTGTGCTTCACGTCAGTGATTGTCATCACATTCAAGTTGTGCTTCACGTCGTGTATGTCTCACATTCAGTTGTGCTTAATCGTCGTGAATGTCTCACTTTCAGTTGCGGGTGCTTCACGTCGCTGAAATGTCTCCACTTCAGTTGTGCTTCACGTCGTGAATGTCTTCACTTCTGTTGTGCTTCAAGTCGTGAATGTCTCACTTATGTTGGACTTCACGGCACGTGGTATGTCTCCACATTCAGTTGTGCTTCCGTCGTGAATATGTCTCACTTCTGGTTGTGCTTCACGCTCGTGAATGTCTCACTTCAGTTGTGTTTCACTTCGTGAATGTCTCCAATTCGGTTGTGCTTCAAGTCGTGAATGTTCTCTTTCAGTTGTTGCTTACACGTTCGTGAATGTCTCACTTCAGTGTGCTTCACGTCGGATTGTCTCCACGTCAGTTGTGCTTCACGTCGTGTAATGGCTCACTTCAATTGTGCCTTCACGTCGTGTATGTCTCAATTCAGTTGTTGCTTCCGTCGTGAATGTCTCACTGCAAGTGTGCTTCACGTCGTGAATGTCTCACTTTCAGTTGTGCTTCACGGTCGTGAATGTACTCACTTCAGTTGTGCTTCAGTCGTGAATGTCTCACTTTCAGTTGTGCTTAACGTCGTGGGAATGTCTCTACTTCAGTTGTGCTTCACGTGGTGGAATGTCTCACTTCTGTTGTGCTTCACGCCCCTTGATTCTCATATCAGCCGTGTCCAGGCATAGAAAAATTTTCTCTTCACCAGGGATCTCCAGACTTTCGACATTCTGCCTTGGTAAGGAAGTAGGTACGGTTATCAACATTTCCTCTTTTATATGTATTATGTCATTGATTATACAAGCCTTTATCACTGTTTCTAACAATGCTTATCACCACTGTGTAATACTTTGTTTATTACATCTTCAAGAAGTTAGAGTTGGTCATTTGTAGTTATCCTTAATCCGTTTAAACAACACCCCCCACACAACACACAACACACAAATATACACTTTCTCGAGGCTATGGCGTACCAAATTTACACCAGAGGTGGAACCCCATCCTATATATATATTTATATTATATATCTATTTATATATTATATATATATATATATATTATTTATTATTTATATATTTAGTATTTATATATATATTTATATTATATATATATATGCAATAAGATCACAGTAACTACAGGGATTTCAGAATATGCAAAAATTATCAAGGACACCAATGCAAGGGATTCTCCTTGCATTGTTTCAAATCTCTAGTAAAGGCTGCAGGGGACGAGATGAAAACGCTGTATGCCTTCTCCCTGAAAGC